GCCTGAGGTTGTCAGTTAATAAAGGACAATGAATGACAGGTGACTGTCAGTATAATTCTTAGTCTCCAAGTTATCACTTTTTGGCATTGTTGAACAAGAAAAGTGTATACATAACAAGGAAATATGTCATAAGTTCTCTGAATGCACAGACAGGCTCAGTATAGGAGAAGCAGCTATTTCTACATGAGTACATGGAGTTCTTTCTTCTAGTTCCGTGTATTTTTCCTAGAAAATCTTCTCAAATTATTCAGCATTTTCCTATTAATGGTAATGCTACACAACCTTGGGTAGAATTACCACAGGATTATGAAACTTCTTGCCTCTTAATTCTTTTCTTTTTCTGACTAGGAGATGTGACTTGATACATAAAACTCCTTGCACATGTTGCTCAAATTTTTAAAAGGAAGAAGAACCAACTGATGAGAGTTTCTCTGTTTGATTTTTAAAAGGCTCCTCTCAAGCTATTTTCCCTCAAGATCCCTTTATACTTTCATCTGCGCAGACTGCCTTAATCCTCCTGTCTTTGTTGTTTCAATGTCTGATCAGCTTGTTTTAAAATCGCCTGTATCCCACATTTGCTAGAACTGAAACCTGACTTCAGGCATTCGCAGTTATAAATCCCTACAAACGTACAGGGCTTCCAAAGCAAAGCGGAGAGAGCTGAAACAGGAAAACTTTTGCTGGTTGTTCCCATAATTTTTACAAAGTTGTCTGTGGTATGAACTAGGTATACACGGAGGTAATACACGTGGAGCTATGCTGCAATCGGCAATGAAAATAAACTTGGCCTCTTAGACTCCTCTGTTGACTATTCGTAGTGGAAGGACAAATATTCTCTTCTCAGTTCCGCTGGACTCGGTAAGAGGGGCAGTTACTGAAATTTCTAGGCCTCACGATGGTGGGCATGAAGATGGGCCAAGATGCTCATGCCAGCTGCAGCCAGGAGGCCTGCAAAGCTTGACCTGGAGCAGGGCTCTTCAGGCAGCATGGGGTGAACTTCTGCTGCTCTTTCCGACCCAGCAGCTGTAGTGACCTGACCACTATACATCTTCTGTCGAAAGTGAACAAAGAGGGAAGGGAGAGCCGCTGAAATAAAACAGAAAAATACGAGGAAGTAAGTTTTCTGATTGCATTTTTCTTTGTTCTTCCTATTAAGGAAAGAAAACATTATTTTGAAAGAATGAGCTGGGTAGAATAGTACATATTTAACTTCAAAATGTGAACAAAATTGTGTCACATTTTTAAAGTTTGTAAATTGAAAACACTTGATAGGAAAAAGTCACTTCATACAGTCTTGAAGACATTATTTTGCAGACAATTTGACAAACTGAATCATATGTTGACTTTAGTTGATTGCATATAAAATTTATTCTTGTATGAAAAGGTAAATAGGGTTGTTTGTATTTTTTCTGTTTTTTTATCTTTTTACTTAACAGTAAATGTGACCTAAGTTGAGTGCTTATTTTAGAGGCCAATGCAGAGATGCTTATAACCAAAACCTGAATATGTTTTCACAGAGCCCTTATTTATAGTAATCTTTTCTGTGATCTAGTTATGATGACCCTCACAAAAATTCCTAGGAAAATAATCATCAAAAACATCTGACAGGATTGTGAATACTAAACTTGCATGTCAGAGATAAAAGATTGATTTAAAATCCAGGAGTACACTATTATTTGGGTTATTAAATGAAGAACTGGCATGAAGACCATACACGATGGTGATTGGAGTAAAAGAAAATGGAGGTTTTTGACTTTTAACAATTGAATTTTGTACACATTTAAAGAACCATTTTCTATTTACTGGTATGCAGATGTCTTCAAATGACCAAATATTATAGTTTATTGTTGAGTAGTTACATGAATATTTTTACATAGTAATAGAATAATTATTACTTGAAACCAAAGGTGTATCTGTGGATTGTGTATGAGTGTGTATGGGTATGCGTTTGGATGAGTGTCGAGATAATTGTGAGAAAGTAAGGAAGGCTTATATTGGCTATGGTAACTACTTCATACTAGCGACTTTTCAAAATAAAGATATATAATTCTGCATTTCATTTATATTTAACAAGATACCTGCTCTACACTCGAGGAAATCCCAATTATTTTGAAAAATAATGACCTATGGGTCAGTCATTTCTTGACAACTTCTGGTGAGAGTTCAAGTAAAAACTCAGAGTCTTCAAAATACAGAAATCTAAGTCAATCATTGTCATTATGAAATGACAGAGAGCTTTATATATTTTCTGAGTAAGAATTATTTTATGAGTTAGCTATATCTCTATGGAGACTGATAGTTTTTTGGTCTAGTGTCAAAGAACAAGGCGGTCAGGAGAAAGGATGAAATATCCCGCTGATCATCATCCTTAAATAGTAACTGATAAATGCATTTCCTATGAAGGCAATTAAGGCTAAATGCATTAGTAACTGTATTGCAGCCAATATTTGTCCTCTAGGTTGTACGGATGCAGCATCAGGGTGAGGAATGGAGGAAATGATCCCAACGAAAAGTACTCAGCAAGGCAGCATGGCTAAGATGAGGGGATGGTACCCAAGATGAAAGGAGGGAGGAGAGGAAGAGAAGAGATCTGGTTGGTAGAGCAATGAAATGAGCAAAAACACATATGTCATGGTGAATGCATGTGAAAAAATATTGAAATCCTAACTTTTCCTTTACAAGGATGGATGGATGGGAAAACGGATGGATGGAGAGATGGATGAATAGATGGTTGGGGTGGATGGATAAATTAGATAGATGATGCATAACATGACAGATACTGCAATGAGAGCCTCATGGTGGGAAGTGAAATTCTGTCGTGTTGTTTTGGAAAATCCTATTCTTCTCTATTGATACTTAACTTTAATAAATGAGGGGTTTTATTTTATATTGTAGAATACTGGGAAACAGAAAAGTTTGAAATTGTCACAATAAAGTTTATCTTATGAGTTGTGTGATCAAGAATAGAATTTCAAATTAGACATTCATACACTAATTAAAATGATCAGCCACATCCTTTCTTTCCTTGGGCTACAAGATGTAAGCTCAAAACTCAACATAATAGTGACTTACAAAATGTCAGTGTGAGTATAAATTGCTATATTTTTTCTGAAGAAAAACCCCTCATAAATGCCCTAGAGGTCAAAAAGCCTTGAAAATGTGCATATACTAGCAATTCTACCACTTGGAATTTATCCAAATAATCAGGTAATCCAGGTAATTAAAGTGGAATCAACTTAAACGTGAACTGTAAAGGATTGATTAAATAAATTATAACCAGAAGGACACCACTGCCTTATTCCAAGGAAAAATCAAAACCAGTGACAGTGTCCTATGACAAGATGAAATGTCGTAGTCAGTACTGATCAGTGTCTTTTAGACCATACATAGATAATGTAGGAGAGTAGTCTGTACTTCACTCTGATGAGACAGATAAACAAATACATCTCACTGTTTATGTCACACAGGGAAGCTGTTCTGCTGTGGCAGTTATGATTAGTTGCCACCCATAGACCTGGGAATTTTCAATTATGCTACAAAGTTGAAAATTACAGTCATAACTAGAGGAAGCATATGTCAGGTATTGTGGCAAACACCTATCATCCGGGCATCTGACAGCTAACACAGGAATATTCTGGGTTTGAGACCTGATTGCACTACATAGCAAGTTCAAGGTCCCTCTGAACTGCATAACAAAACCCTATCTCAGCAAACTGAACCAAAGCAAACCACATAAAAAAAAAACTACACCAAAACAACCCAAACTCAAACCAATAGTATAGCAAGATATAGAAAATAGATAAAATCTAAATTAACATTCAGACATCCTATACAAAGAATCTTTGATTTCCTCATGCCCTGAAAAGACAAAATGATGAAAACTTTGGCAAAATCTGTCAGAAAGAAACAAATGTATGAGCAAGGAGATTTTTGGAGGCATATAATGGAATTACAATTGTAAAATTAAGTTTTCCTTCACATATAGGTTATTTTTTTAACGAATACTTTTACACTTACTCAAAGTGTTAAAGTGAGAATCAATTGAAGCTAGAAATTCTCACAATTTTCATGAAGTGCTACCCTTGAAGGTTTCAAACGTCTGCTCATTACAATTTTAAATACATGTATGTTAATCTAGCATTATTTTCCTTTTGTCTACCTGTAATTAATGCATCAGTGATACAAAAATTTATTTTAGAGAAGATGCTATGCCTTACAGAACAGATTTATAGCCACGGTGAAAATATTTCGTTAATATATTCCAAGTGAACCCCTCTTTACTTTTGTGGTCTCCTGTGTTCCCACAAGGAGTAACAGAAGCTACTAGACAATGTATGTGGCAGGTACACGCTGAGGAATCCTCACTCCATTTAACTTGATGTATTTGTTGTTCTTTGAGTGTATCCTGCCTCTTTTCACTACTTAGAGGTTTATTTATCTTACTACTTCTACTGAGCCCTGCTCTTCCTCTCTTCACCTGCCAAAGTGACCCACTAATGCCTGGGACAAGTTGGTCAAGTATTTGCTGAAGGGAAAAAAGGAACGGAGAAAGAGTTAGCATCAGTATTTGTTGAAACTGTATGACAGCTCTCCATGTGGCACTGAGTGCAGTCAGTATTTGGGTGCCTGCATAGGACAAAGCTAGGTAAAAGCAGCATCCATTCTAGAAAACTGCCTTAGCAAGACATGTGTTCCATGTCCACCGAGATTGTTCACAAGGTGAAAAGTCATGCTCTTTAGCATAACACATGATTAAAGGTATTCAGCACATTGGACTTACTTTTGGTAGCAGTTTGTTTGTTGCAGAGGGACTCTTTACTTTTTGATTCTTTTTGGTTGATTATTCACACAGGACACATGGAGCCTTATATTTGAATCTGTCGTCCCACTGCTAAAGAAATATTGTTAGTGATTCTTGTGTGAACTAGCATAGACATTAAAATGGCTAATTTAAGTGTTTATTCTGTTTTTATAACTATGCAATGAATAATCTTCTCCAGGTTCAAAGCTTGAAAAACTGACTTGCTACTAATATAATAGATAATGATGACGATGACAACAGAGACAATAGCAACAACTACAGAACCAGTGTTCCTCAGTTCTGGAAAACTCGATGGGATGTTCAAGCCCTCACCAGAATTCTTATGTCAGGAATATTTTCAGTATTTCAGCTTTGCTTAGTTATTTCCTCATCTCAGATTAAGTCAGAAGAGCAGCTGAAAGAGTGGCCAATGGTTTGCCCCATCCCTTTTCCAACGACTGCACCAGCTGTCATGATGATGACCTGAGTCCAAAGGTCAGCCGGCACCTGTGGGAGATGTGCTTGTCCTGGTAAACATGTGGATGCTGGCAGAGGTCCTGCTCATGAACAGCTTACAGTTTTGGTGAGAAGTGGAAATGTGTGGGAACTTCACTGCTGGAAAACTTGTTTCCTCTCTGTGCACAATCAAGTAACTGATAGACAGGCTTTTGTTTTCTGTCTCAATAGCGATGCCTATTCATTTGGGGAACTATCTTCTCAGAGGGCAAAATAACCATAAAGTTCATATATGCTGGCTCTCGTGTGCTCTAAAATCTGGAGTAAAGTCCTGCGTTGGAATCAAGAACCTGAACTGAGCATGCGAGATAATTATTGTTCCAGAATCAATTTAAGGACAGGAAAATTAGCTTTACATTTTAGAACTGGAATAAGTACTCTTATGTAATCAGGAAGTCCTTGTAAACCCTATTTTTGTAGATTCTCCATTTGTACATAGCTGAATATGAAGAAAATATATTAGCACGGTTCAGAAGATATTATAATTTAAGAAATTCTACAAAATCTTATTATCTGAAGTATCATGTTGCCATTTTCTAAGCACCTATTATTGCTAATGCTGAGTACTTTCTGTCATGATTTAATAATTGACCCAAACTCTAAATTTTGTTTCTCCTTTACTTTGCTTGCTTCCCTCACTCACTTATTTTCCAGTATACTATATATTTGTCAGCTTTAAAAAATAACGCTAAAGAGTAACGTCCTCTGTTCCTGTTTGGCTTAATATGATGGCTTCCTAAAACAATGACGACACATGATTTCACTGTTTTTTTCCCTCAATAACAATGGAAAAGAAAGCTACCTATATCCTCTTGTTTAGTTTCCCTTGAGAAAAATGATCAAAGTGAGCTGGAGACTGCATAACCATGGAAGAGATTTCCTGAACATTGTTCACAGTTTTGGCAAAGTAAGTATTATTGCCACACAACTTCTGGTAAAAATTTGTGAAAGAATGAAAATTATATGCGCTGTTGCCTGTTGACTCAGATCAGTGGAAAGAAGAAAATAAATGTAGATTTTCATTCATTTACTCAATAAATATTTAGTGTGTAGTAATATGTGCTATTTACTTGAGGACAGAAATATGCACTGATGTAGGAATGCAGCCTTCAAAGATGTAAAACAGAATTTGGTTGTATAGGTTGTAAGTGGTGATAGATGGTGGTGGTAGGCACTGATGATCTGGTTTCAGCTGGGGAAGAATGGTTTGTACATAAATATCTGTTTATATATCACCTGGGAAATACAAAACAGTTTAATTTCTTAACCTAGTTCGTCTATTACCACAGCATTACCTAAATGTAACATTGCTTAATAATTTTATATTTTAATGTGCTTCAGGTATTCTCAAAAGATTTCAAGGCTAGACATATAGAATACTGAGATCAAACTCTAATCTAATGTAGGACATTTCTCAACTCTTCTACTCTCTGGAAAAGTGTTACATATTCTGTGAGCAATATGCTCATTGATAAAAAGGACATAATTTGTTTATGGGGTTGGGACACACACACAAACATATATATGAATTCCGTGTAACATATAATGCAAAAGTGTACAAATGAACTGCTTGGCTGTGCACACTCCTGTACATGCAGATGTGAACCACTGTCAGACAGACTATGTGGAAAATGTTTTATCCTAATTCTAAATAATAGATCACTGTGGGACAATGTTAGCCATAGAAAAAGGTGGTACAAAATGTGATGCAAAATGAAGTACTCTATCAAATTTGCTTTAATAAATAGGCAGCCCAGATGATTCTTACATCTTCAATTTAAAAAAAAAAACAGAAAGAAGAAAAAAAAGTACAGAACACTGAATTTGGTTGATATTTATAGAAAAAATAACTTCACCTAACATTATCACTATAGCTAAATAATTGGCTTATGGTACTATTTTCCTTGGCTTGAGATAATTCTAATGAAGAATGATTGTCCTTTCTGTAACTTCATTTTCAGCAATAATTACTTAGATAGCATTAATGACTCCTGGCTTTTCTTGTTTCATTGTGCTTCTCTTTACTTATTAATAGCACTTGGTAAATATATCTCATCAACTGAGAAATGTTTGCTGATGTCACCAGCCTTGCATTAGATTTTATAAATCATACTAGAAATGCAAAGTGGAGATTCTTTCCTGGAATCCTACCCTAATCTTATCAGGTAGTCCACTATCTGGCAATGCATGTGAAAATAAAATTACTAATCACAGATAGGGACCTATACTGTTGCTATCAGAACTTTCTTCTAAGAGTTTTTAAGAAAGTTAGGAGAAAAACAGTACCATCAGTCAGAAACCTCTATTTATGGCCTAGCTCTTAGGGCTGCACACTTTGGAGTGCTTTTTCCCCCAACTGCAAGGTCCTCTCTGAAACAAAAACCTAGCATGGCCAGTAGAGCCATTTGGAGCCCAGATCTCAGCACTTGGTACACAGGATCTTGTGACTTTGGGCCACCATAGCATTCTTGATATATTCCCTCTGGGTGACTCTCGCCAACTTTGGAAGTAGAATGAGTTACAAGCTTAGAGCTGCTGCTAGTCCTTCTCTGATCCGTGGGCTTGAGACATGTTTGTGGGCCCCCAGGTCAGTTCTCACTTCTTTCTGCTCAGAATCATGCTTCTGCTTATCTACAGTGTCAGTGGTGCAGGGCACAGAATGTCTTTACCTGTGTGACCCTTTGCCCTAGTCCTCTGACAGGATGTGTACTGTACTCCAAGCCCACCTTGGATGTGGAGTTAGCATGCCTGTCTCTTATGAGGCTTCCAAACCATTGCTTTGCAGTGCCATGCAGGTCTTCTGAACAAAACCCTTGATGCTTATTAACAATGTGCTACATCACTTCCTGTGTTTGTCTTTAATTGGCTCCTCTGGTCTAAGAATGGACATTGTCCTTGGAAGAATGGACCCCTTCTCTTTCTCAGCTCACAAGATCTTCACCAACCTCTCCATTAGAAGGTGCAAGTGTGCTCAGTATTGATGTATAACATTCCAGAAATACAATGATGACTAAAGATGTCAAGAGAAGACATGTTTGAAAAATCTATCATTTTATGTGTGAGCTATAAAATTCTGAATGGTAAAATTAACCTTAAAAATGAATTTGCAATATATATTCTGCATACACAGTGTTTTGTGACTATATTAATGAAATATAAGTATAAGCTTTGATGGAGTCATTAGAAGCTTTGGATGCTGAAAGGTCATGAGAACACTTTGCAAATATACAAATGGTATTCGGGAGCTAAGGTTGCTGGAACTGTACGACTTCAATACGAACACATGTCAATGTACCCTGGCACTGTGATGTAACAATGGTACTATTACCTTTTCGTGTGATGTGAGATATGAAGTCATTTAGGAAAATGTCCATTAGACAATAAATATTACGAGACATGCTTTTTGAACCTGAACAGGAAGAGATGTTGCTTCATCACTGAGATACTCAAGCGCACCAGTTGAGCAGTAAATATGTAACTGCTCTTTATATGCTATTCTAAATCAGCCTTTCTACCTTACATAGGCCCATGAATTGTGTAACACATTGCAAATCAAATTGCCTGTATAGACAGAAGGTCTGAAAAAATACTTGTTATACCACCTTAAAATAAGGTTGGTCTTGGATAAACATATCAGAAGGATTTATAAACCACTGTTGAAGGAGTTCTCAGGTTTATCTGTTTTGCGTTCCTCAGCACTGACCATTGTCCTTACAATGCTGGACTTCTATAGCTGGGTATTCACGTCAGTTTACTCTTAGATGTGAAATGCATTCCTGGCCAGATGAGCACACAGTAGTAACTTTGAAATATCTTCTTTCAAAAAACATCAACAACAAACAACAACCAGCCAATCAATAAGTCTTTTTGAGTCCCATTTATAGGGAAAGTAAACAAGAATCAGATTAAAAATTCATATACATGATGGAGCCATAGAGGCTGGTATCCATTCTTTTTTCTGAAGCAATGACTTCAGGAAATCAACCCTTCAAAAATAAATAAATAAATAGATAGTCACCTGAAAATAGACTTTAAGTAAAGATATTTTGTATATTTTACTTGAATTTACAAGTAAAGAAAAACAAAAATACATGCAGGATAGTTAATTTTTTGGCTAATTTGATTAAGTAGGGACTTAGACCAGGTACATATTTTGCAAATGTATCTTTAGCATGCATAGTAATAAATGTGTAGGATGATCAAGTCCATTTGGGCATGAAATACCAGAGAATAATGACATCGTTTTGGGGACATTTTGTGTTAAACAGCATATGAATATTTTTGAAAGATTGAGAAGGATTTTTAAACTGGAAAGGAGTCATGGAATAACCCAAATATCTATAGCAATATCCTTCAGTTATTCAGTGTTTTCCATGAGAGAGGAGATGCCGCTGCCCACATAGGTCGATTCCACAAAAATACACACATAACCACAGACATTTCTGAGACACTCAAGTCAAAGACCACTCACAGGACACCGTGCCCCATATTTAAATCTATTTTAATTAGTTCAAATTTAGTGGAGAATACACCATTGATTTCTTTCCTGTATCAGTCTATGTAGAGTATAACTCGTTTTTGAGTGTCAAAATTACTACTTTAATTAACACTTTATATTATTGCAAATGCAAAATTTTAAATTTTGCATTTTTCTATATTAAGAGAGAGGTTTTCCAAAAATTTTTAGATAAAATTAAAATTCTACCATAAAGGGAAATTATAATCATGAATCTTACTATACAGTGAATTCAGACTTTTATATACTTTTTAGTATGTTTGGAATCTTCACCTGATTTTTTTTTTTTTTTTTTTTTAGTCAGTACCAGGGATCGAACTCATGACTGCCTGCTTGCAAGGCAGGGGCTTATGCTGCTGAGCTAAATCCCCAGCCCCCTCTTTTTTTTCACCTGATGTTTGATGAATGAATATAGTGATAACACAGGATCAAGAAACCAAAAATTACAGTAGTAGTAGTAACTCAGAATTTTATACCAGTACCTAATATTTATTTTTCTCTCTTTTTTCTTTAATTTTATTTAAGGAGAAAAGAAAAGAAAGAAAAAAAACAGTGAAGGGGTACAAGTTATACAGATTTACAGAAGAAAAAAATGCGCAGTAGGAAATCACTAGTTAATGGATTACATATTGCCATCTTAGAAATAATTGTTCAAGTCACAAAATTAAAGCTTGTAGAGTGGACATTCCAACAATGATACTGCAAACAGTTCTGTTCAATGATCCAATAAAACTCTGTGATATCATTTTCTATCTTATACATTTAAATATACATGCAGTTATATGGTTTAGAGCACTTTCTTTTCCTCTCTTTTGTACCGTGACTATTACACATTTTGGGTTTCGTTGCTCCCACGGTTCTTATTGCTTTTTTGGAAGAGAGTAAAACCAAATGTGACATAACAGAACAGAATCGGTCAAGTCAAAAGGGTGGACACAATAGATAATATAAAAACATAATACAAGGTGATCAACAATGGTTACCATAATGCCTCCCGCTATTTCTAATAGAATTGCCTATATCATTAGTTGTTATACAATTGAACAAAACAGTAAAGAATAAAACCGACAAAACCAAAACATTGGAGATATTGTAGGTCTTCAAAAGTAGATAAAAGTCAACGAGAATGGGCGTTATAATGAATCTCGTTATCTTCTCAGCTGATGCCTAAACTTTTGAACCTGATACTATCCAGCAAAACAGAATAGAGGAACCTCAGTCAAAAACAAGATGGTGAGAGTAATACAGGGCTTCAAATCGAGATAATAGTAAGTCAAAGTGAGTTACTATATTATATCCTGCTATATTTTTCCCTTTAATTAAATGGATAAAAATAAAAAAGTAAATAATGGAGTGGAGATTGAGAAAAAAGAGGGCATAACAGCGAAACAGGGCAGATCAAAATATAACCATTTAAGCAGAATAGTGTTTCACCACCAGATAATCCTGACCCAAAAATAGTTACCATATTGACTCCCTCCCTGAAGTCCTTGAGTACAACTTCATATACTGTAGCATTAAGTATATCAAAACAATGTAAAACCATTTAAGAGAATGACAGCATTATAGAGTATTTAGAATCGACTAACAGAAAATGAACAATGGTCTCTGTATAATCTCCTTGTCTTTAAAAGGTTTTTGCTTATACTATCGTACATAACAAAATCCAATAAGATACAACCTGTTTAGACCATTGGAGACAGAAGAACAAAAGCTAGATGAGACTTCAAAACAAGATGGTACTAAATCAGCATTACCTATTAAGATGTCATTTTCTCCAGAAAAAGCTGTTCCTATCATCCAATCTTCTCTGTCACATTTCTGTTGAGCTCTTTTTCTGTCAGTAGCTGTCAGTTTGTCTTCTTCATTTTGTTCTCTGCTCCATTCGTTGTGGCCTCCCTGCCACTATTTCTGGGTTCTTTGTATTTTTCTTTTTTTAGAATATCCTGCAATACTTTCTGTAGGGTTGAATTGGTGGTTGCAAATTCCCCCAGTTCCTCTTTATCCTGGAAGCACCTCGTTTTTCCATCAATTTCCAGGGACAGTTGTGCAGGATATCTCAATCTTGGCTGGAGATTATTATCTTTCAAAGCTTGAATTATTTCTCCCCATGCTCTTCGTGATTTGATGGTTTGTGAAGAGAAATCTGCTGTAATTCTGATGGGTATTCCCTTGTAAGTGATCTGTTTCTTGTCTCTTACAGCTTTTAATATTCTGTTCTTGTATTGAATTTCTGGAATTTTTATTATTATATGCCTGGGTGTTTCTCTGTTAGGGTTGTAGGTAGCTGGGGTCCTGTATGTCTCATACATCTGAGTATCTTTACCTTTTGCTAAATTAGGAAAATTCTCCTGGATTATTTCTGTGAGTAGCTTTTGTAGTTCACTTGTTTGTGTCCCTACTTCTTCTTTTATGTTCTTAATCCTTAAGTTATGGCTCCTCTTATCATCTTCTTGTCTTTGTATTATTGCTGTGTGTTTCTTTGTTATTTTTAAGAAGTTTTTCATTTCATTCTCCCATGTTTCAAGTCTGCCCTCCAATTCAGATAGTCTGTCCTTAGTTTCTTTCAAGCTGTTATGCCAGTCTTGGATAGACTTCTTAATTTCTTGATAGTCCCTTTGAACCTGCTTCACATACTCAATGCTTTCTCTGTTTTCTCCATCAAGCAATTCTCCCCTCTTTTTCTGTTCTTCCATTCCACCATCTGCTTTTTCCTGGGTGGTGCTTAGCATTTCTCTAACTATTCTGCATACTTCTAGCTTCAGGTCATTGATAACTTCATTCCTGAATTGGTCTATGAGGCTCTCTAGATGGCGCTTAATGTATATTGGTGCCATGTCCACTATTGCCTGATTCTCAGGATCGGGGGCCGAGGAGCCTTTTTTGTTGCTTCCCTTCCCCATATTTTCTGTTCCTTATAAAATGCAATCTTACATAGGAGGCCCGGCTTCCCTGCCTGTCAGCCACAGCCTGATCAAATTGCGCTGGCTAGTTGTTCCCGCCCACCGCTGCGCCCCAGGGAGTTGCGGAGGAGGCAGCCTACGCGGGAGTCGGTCGCTCCTCCGGGCCACCATCAGGCTCTGGGATCTGGGTTAGGCCAGCCTAGGGAGTCCACCAGCAGTGTCACTCAGGCCAGGCACCTTTCACCAATCCCGTCCGGGAGGGGAATGTGCGGCTAGAGTTGCCACCGCGCCCTGCTCTTACAGGACTGCCCGAGCCCAGAAAAACCTCCGCTGGAGTCAAACTGTGGTAGGGAGTCAGTTTCTCGCTCACCTCGCCACCAGTCAGTTTTTCCTCCTTGTCTGTCCTGTTTCCAACTCCGTTCCCAGAGCTCGGCGCGTCTCTCCTTGCCGAGCCGCTGTGGAGGCAGCCAGCCGCCGGGCAGCGGGAAACCCAAATCGCAGTTTCCAATGGCGCGTGGTCAAGCCTCCACACCGAGACTTCTCTGTTCCTATTTTAGCCTCAGGACCGCATTCTAAGTTGGATTCTCTCAGCCCAGTTCGTTCCTGAGTCAGCAGAGCACATCTCTACTGGTTCGTATCTCCTTAGTCCGCATCATTCCTGGCCTCTGAGCCGAGCCTTTCAGAGAGCCTTCAGTAGCTGCTGCTGTCTGTCTGCCATGTTCTCCGAACCCCACTCCTAATATTAATTTTTCAAGTTGCTTGAGAAATCTTACAAGTTCTTTGTTTTCTTTTGCTTCCTTTAATTTGTTTTTCTTTTTATTTTTTTCTTTTTTTGGGGGGGGGGGCTCTTTTTCATTTTTATCGGTACCAGGTATCGAACTCACGATTGCCTGCTTGCAAGGCAGGCGCTTATGCCGCTGAGCTAAATCTCCAGCCCCCTTTAATTTGTTTTTAAAGAAAGTCACAAAAATCACTGGTGTTATCAGTTGAGTAAA